GAGTAGGCGTGATCTTTGACGCGAAATACAGATTGCACGAAGCCTCCGTGTAGCCTATAACTTATAAGTATGAGCTTCAAGGGGCAAAGAAGTATATATATATATATATATATATAATATATATAAAAGATTAAAAAAAATAAAAATTGAAAATAAAAAATGTATTTGCGTGCTGCGCGCCTGATAATGCGTAAAAGGTGCACCGTAGTACTTATGCTGACGCACACAAACACATAGGGACAGGTTTATAATATTTTTTTTCACTCGAGGCATATATACATCTGGGTAACTTGAGCAGCGGTCCTTCTATTCCCTTGCACACGGTAGGCTCAACGATTCATTGCACTTTCTTACTAAATACTAAGGACTTCAACCTTTCGATTTTTATTTTTCTCCATTTTCTTCATTTTTATCGATTTTATAAAAATTATCCTCCACATAATTAGAATTTAAATTTTAAACTAATAAGGCAAATTGATAATTTAGATAATAAAAGTACTTCCGAATTAATTAATTATGTATGTCATTAATTATTATTCATAAATCGATTTTCATTATATTTGATGAATAATAAATATACAGATGAACTAAATTTACAATATTTAAAACACGAAGAAATGAACCAATTTTATGTAACTGAATAAAATTTGAGTTTAATAATTTCTTTATTTGCAATTTTTTCCTATAATTCCGAAAACTTGGAGTGTAAATTAAGATTAAATTACGTAATAATATAAATCTAATGTCAAAGTTTACGAGATACTTCCGTTTGTCTGAAACTATCACGTTTATTACCGTGCAAGTTTATATATATAGGATTAGCGCAACAAATGAAAAAGATCATGTTATAAATAGCAAGTGACTTGGGAATTGACTTGGAAGGAAATTGAACCGTCCTGCGTAAAATTAAAAATTCTTTTCAGCAAAAAAGAAAAAAGCAACAGAAACTTGACAAATCAGACTTTACAAAAAAAAAAACCAAATAAAAAAACAATTCAACAATTTTTTCTGTTCACATTTTTCTTAAAATTATCAAATTGATAACCTTAAATAAATAAATTTGAATCAATTTCTGATTCGATCAACATTTTTGGTATCAATTCGTTGTAATTTGATACTTTTATGTTAACAGTGAATTTATAAATATAAAAAATTTTTATATAGGGAATTTTTTTAAATATTGCGTAGAACTAGAAGTAGATTCAATTTTTTTTTCTTATTAATTTCTGAAGATTTTTATTTCTTTTTATTAACGAAAAGAAACAAAAATATTACGTTAAAATTTTAAATATCAAAAATTAAATACCATTCATCAGAAATTTTTAAAACTGAAGATTTTTATTTCTTTTCATTAATAAAAAGAAAAGAAAAAAAGAAAAAATTAAAATCAAAATAAAAAATTAAATACCATTCATCAAGAATTTTTAAAACTGAAGATTTTTATTTCTTGGTATATTTAATGGTATATTTAAATGAATGGTATATTTAATTTTTGATTTTAATTTTAATTTTAACGTCCACTCTTAAATCTTACTCGCAACATAATTCAAAGAGTATTTATTGAATTGAAACTCTCTTTCAAGCTTATAGTACAATTTATTCTCCCACGAGTTTCCATTCACTTTCAAAGAAAAGAATATACGAATTGATAAGTATATATATATATGTACAGTCTTGATGCAGTAGACGATCTTGCAGTAGAATTTATTATCAATCCTCATTAGACACAAACGAATCGATTCACGATCTCGTGTGATGAGGATGTTGGCTTTAAATAATGGGGGATTTTCAGACGAGAAAAAATTATCCTACGTGCAATATGATTACCTTCACTTTCCGGACGATTATTTCAAACACAATATTATTTGTAATCATCTTAAGAATATAATTATTGGAAAATTTTTTCCATTTGATTTTTATTCAATAGAATTACTCTATTTTAATGGAATTTTCTAAATTAAGACAAATTGTAGTAAATAGAATTTCTAATTGGGAGAATTTCTAATTAACGGAATTTTTAATCGCAATTTTTCTGAGGATATCAAATTGAGAACGAAAAGCGAAGCAAAAATGTTGCTTAGCAACACTTTTGATTCGCTTTTTGTCTCAATTTGATAAAATTCGCTTTAATAAAAAGCGAAACAAAAGTATTGCGAACATTTTAGATTCGCTTCTTGTCTCAATTTAATATCCTTAGAAAAACTGTGAATAATCAGAATTTTTAACCAACAAAAATTTAAATTAAAAAAATAACATAAAATTAAATAAAATTAAATACAATGAAGTTAAATAAAAATTTAATTAAATAAAATTAAATTTTAACATTTTTAACAGAATGTCTAATGAACAGAAGTTGAAAAAATGAACCCTAAATAAGTTTTTGAAAATATAAGATTTCTGCTAAATGAAAATAGTTTTTATGAAAATTCGGTTAAATAAAAGTTTTCCTTACACTGGAATTCTGCTAAATGGAAAATATTTTTAAAGAGAAACGAACAAAAGTAAAAGTTTTGTTAAATAGAAATTCGTTAAGAATTTGTTAAGTAAAGATAAAAGTTCCTATAATTAGAATTTCAATTTTAATGCCGAATTTCAGTTGAATAAAAATTCGAATTTCGCTAAATATGAAAGTTATTTCTAAAAAGAATTCAATTAAATCGAATTGTTTTAAAATTAAAATTCTGTTTAATGCAGCATTACAATTATTTATAGAAATTCTCAAATAATTTTCAAATTTTTGTCGATTTCAGAATGAAAAAACAGAATTTCGGCTAAATTATTGTTCGGTTTAATGGAAATTCGGTCAAAAGACAGTTTGATTAAAGAAAATTTCCGTTTAGTGGACCAAACTGTCATTTGACCGAATTTCCATTAAACCGAACTTTTGTTTAGCAGAAATTCTGTATTTTTTATTTTAAAATCGAACAAAATACGCAAATTATTAGAATTTCTATAAATAAATAATAATAATAATAATAATGTTGTATTAAACAGAATTTTAATTCGAATAAAATTCTATTATCCGCAATTTTATTTAACCAAACTGACAGTTGACCGAATTTCCATTAAACCGAAAATTCTGCTAAATAAAAATGCAAATGTTAATAAAAATAATTATTTTCAGTAAGAATTCAACTGAAGAAAAGTTCTGTTAAATGAGAATTCTGCAAAATAAAATATTTTACTTAATGGAAATTCGATAAAACACAAGTTCATAAAAATAATAGTTTGGTTAAATAGAATTTCGGTTCCATAAAGTTTAGATTTACCAGAATTTTTTAAAAACTTCTTTAAAATTTGTTCACTTTAATAAAATTTTGGTTAAATGAAACTTTGGTTACCAGAAGTTCAGGTAAATAATATTTGGTTTAATTGGACAAATTTAACTGTCATTTGACCGAAATTCCATTAAACCGAACTGTAATTTAACCGAAATTCTATTAAACTAAAATTTTATTTAACTAAATTCGAATTTTTATTCAACTAATTGTAAGAATAAGAAAAAATTAAATTTTGGTCAAATGACAGTTTGCTCTAATGGAATTTCGGTCAAATGACAGTTTCGTTCAATGGTATTTTGGTTAAATGACAGTTTGATTTAATGGGATTTCGGTCAAATGACAATATATTTTAATTTCGGTTAAATTATTTCGGTTTACTTTTAGTATTTCGGTTAAATAACTGTTTGATTTAATGTGATTTCGGTCCAATAACAATTTAGTTTAATTTCGGTTTATGTTTTTTAGTATTTCGGTTAAATGAAAGTTTCGATTTAATAGAATTTCGGTCAAATGCCAGTTTCGTGTAATTGTATTTCAGTTAAATAACACTGTGATTTCATAGAATTTTGGCCAAATGACAGTTTGATTTACTGGAATTTCTGTTAAATGACAATTTATTTTACCGGACTTTCGGTGAAATGACAGTGTGTTCTACTGGAATTTCGGTGAAATGACAGTTTAATTTACTGAAATTTCGATTAAATGACAGTTTGATTTAATGGGATTTCGATTAAATAACAATTTAGTTTAATTTCGGTTTAGTTTTGTAGCATTTCGGTCAAATGACAGTGTGTTCTACTGGAATTTTGGTTAAATGACAGTTTAATTTACTGAAATTTTGGTCAAATGACAGTTTGCTTTAATGGAATTTCGGTCAAATGACAGTTTCGTTTAATGGTATTTTGGTTAATTGACAGTTTGATTTAATGGGATTTCGGTCAAATAACAATTTATTTTAATTTCGGTCAAATGACAATTTATTTTAATTTCGGTTAAATTATTTCGGTTTAGTTTTAGTATTTCGGTTAAATAACTGTTTGATTTATTGTGATTTCGGTCAAATAACAATTTAGTTTAATTTCGGTTTATGTTTTTTAGTATTTTGGTCAAATGACAGTTTGTTTTAATGTAATTTCGGTCAAATGACAGTTTCGTTTAATGGTATTTTGGTTAAATGACAGTTTGTTTGAATGGAATTTCGGTCAAATGACAGTATCGTTTAATTTCGGTTTAGTTTTTTAGCATTTCGGTCAAATGCTAGTGTGTTCTACTGGAATTTTAGATAAATGGCAATTTAATTTACTGAAATTTCGGTTAAATGACAATTTGATTTAATGGGATTTCGGTTAAATGACAATTTAGTTCAATTACGGTTTAGTTTTTTAGTATTTCAGTTAAATAATACTATGATTTCATAGAATTTCGGTCAAATGACAGTTTGATTTACTGGAATTTTACCCTTCCTCCCCCCTCGTAAGATATTTTACATACATTAGCGACATTTTTTTCTATTGTTAATAGAATTAATGAAATTGAATTTGATGGAAATTAAATTTGTTTTCAAACTTCAAAGAAGAAGAATAATTTTCGTAAACTTAAGAAATAAGGCACACGATAATTTTCAGAGAAAATTGTTGGAAAAAAAATGATGAAGATGAAATATGATAAAATAAAATAATTAAGGGGGTTTAACTAAAATTAAGGTTATCATTAACATACCCAGAATGATGTTTGTTGTACGTACTCGGCGTCGTTGTCGTCGTCACGTGAAGATATACCGGTGGATTGTTTTCTCTCGGACGATAATTATCATGGAAAGTAGCGTAGGCCAGTGCCTGATTTCCACTACTATATTGATTGATCATTGCACTGAATTTATCCGTTCTAAATGTTGTTCGTTGATCGATATCGTTAATAATACGATGACCCACGTGATGACGTATATTGTTATTATTATTATTCTCGAGACGTTCTTCGATGTCCTTGAAATCATCCTTACCGATGACCTCTTGACTCATTGGATTTCTCGTGGTCTCCTGAAAATGATTTCTCATCGCCTGACCCCACTGACCATTATTCTCATGATTATGTCGATTGTGCGATTGTACACTGTGCCTAATTGGCCAACCATTCCTATGATTGTAACCACCATGATGCTCATGATTTGAATACACTGACACTATGTTAATAAAAATTAAATAAATTAAAAATTTCCCGAAAATTTCGTTCATTTCCGATATGCTCTTTTTCATCACCACAAGAGCAATTTTTTTTTTTGTTATTGATTACAATTTATCACATATTGTTTTTTTTCTCTTTCTATTTTTCACATTTTTCTATCAATTTTTCTTTCAATTTTTCTTTTTTGAATAATTTTTTCTTTTGAAAGGTTTAGAATTTGTGAATTGTTTTTCGGTCAAGTATTCGAAAAGGCAGTGAATGCACTACTGAAGGAGAGTCAGAATGTCGGCATGGCTCCACGTGCTTCAGTTGTTCGTTGCAGCCCCACTCACTCTCTGCGTCTCTCTTTCTTCTCTCTTTCTCGCATCACTTCACTGACTCTTTATTCCCTCTCTTTTTGCCATCTTCTCGCACAGTCTTATCCTCATTCTTGTTTTCTTACTCTGTCTACAATGTTTCTTTTTTTTAACTTCACTGCATTTGTTTCTCTTTGTTGGCCTTTGTGCTTCCACTCGGCAAAATTCAAACTCCCTCTAACTGAAGTAACAACTTCCGAACTCTGCCTCTTTTATACACATTAAATTTCTATTTTTGAAATTACTCTTACCAGCCTGTTTTTTTAAATATGACAGTACTTGTGAATTTTAAAAAATTAACTTCTTCTTTTAATTACCAAAAAGAAAGAAACTCTTTCTAGGAATATAAATTCCTAGTGTTTGTCGATTCATCTTGATTAAAAGTCCTCTTTAAATAATGAAAGTTTGAAACCAGATTTTATTGAATATTTTAGTAAAAGGAAAGAATTAATTCTCTTTCTCTATTTTTACCACAAAAATTTTAAACCTCTCGGATCGAAAAAAGTCGCATTGAAAGTAAGAACAAATTAAATTAAAAAACAAAAATCACAAAATAATTAAGTACAATAAACATCTTTCACTATATTAGAACAATCGAAAAAAATATAACAACTTGAAATATAATTAAGAAAAATTATATCATCGAGAAGACAAGACATCAGATGGCAAATGTTTTATATAGATATTGAATTCAGAAAACATCTTTTTATCCCGTGAAGGACAACACGTTGAAGACCAATCCAATATCGCGTTTCGAAGGACAAAAAGCCAACGTAACACAGTTGTTTGATCGATGAAACAAAGTCTAATATAAAATCGTCAGGGGATTCTCAAGGATCTTTTTTCCCCATGAATAAAAAATCGACTTCACTACAATTTACAATTCTAAGAAAAATAACAAATTACAATCTATATATAAATGGTATACGCTACTTCTTTTTCTTCTCGTTAAAAAATATGATCAATCATTTGAAATTGACCTAACTCGGAACTCCCATATTATGATTCAATATCAGGCTTCGCACTCATCTACTAAATGACTAAAACCTACTATTTACTACTTTTTTTACGTTATGCTACTATTTGGGTCCATTTTTTAGATTTCATCCACTAAAAAATACTATTTCTGTTATTTTTTGAGAATTTAGTTAAAACTCCCAAATACTAGAAATCAAAAAACTATTCGAGAAAATTATAATCAAATTCTTACGATTCAATTATTTTCAAAAAGTATTCGAAATTCTATTTTCAATATCTACTGTTTTCATAAAATTTCGCAAAAGAATTCAATTATTTAAAAAAAATTGATAAAATTCTTTTCAAGAATTCAATTATTTACATAAATAATAAAATTTCCACAGGAATTCAATTAATTTAGAATAGCATTTTCAAAAAAATTTCGAAAAAATGAAATTAATCAATTATTTAATAAAATTTTTATACAAGAACAATAATTCCATTACTTTTACTATTAATATCATTATTCATACAAATTCAATTTTTTAAATAGATTTTTATCAAATTCTTCGCAAGAATTCAATTATTTTCATAAATAATAAAACTCATCGAAGAATTTCAATTATTTTTAATACTATTTTACAGGAATTGCTCAAAAAATATAATTATGATAACAAATAAAGTTTTCCACAAGAATTACAATTATTATTCCCTGAAATTCAATTATTTTGAGGCATTTTAATAAAATTGTATGCAAAATTCAATTATTTTTATAAATAACAATATTCATCACAAGAATTCAATTATTTTTAAAAGTAGTAAATTTCTTCTTGAAAATTCAGTTCATTTTAAACATTTTAATAAATTTTTTCGTAATAATTCAATTATTTTCATAAATAACAATATTCATTACAAGAATTCAATTATTTTTATAAATAATAAATAATTTTCAAAGAAATTCAATTATTTAAAACACAATTTCGATAAAATTTTTTGAAAAAAATATTTTCTTTAAAAACATTGTTTTTAAATTCTTCTCAAGAATGCAATTATTTTAAAGCTTTATATTAAAGTTGGCTGACCAAAAATTCAATTATTTTCATAAAGAATATAACATTTTCAAAGAAATTCAATTATTTAAAACACAATTTTCATAAAATTTTTTCAAAAAAATCATTTTTTAAAAAGATTTTTGTTAAATTTTTCTCAAGAACGCAATTATGTATTTAAAAAACTTTATTAACGTTCGGTGACAAAAATTCAATTATTTTCATAAATAATAAAAATCATCGCAGGATTTCAATTATTTTTAATAGGGGAACATAGTCTAGGTCGGCCACCTTTTTGACTTTTGTTTATAACTTTTTTTTAAAAATGAATTTGGACAATTGAAGTATATGGTTGGAAAGTCCTGTTTAATAGGAACATTTTTTCTGTACAAAGTAAATTGACAGGTTTAAAAATGAAAAAGTTATAAAGATTAAAAAAAAAAAAATTTGTAGTCCAGGTTGGCCATTACAGTCAAGGTCGGCCATGTTTAAAATTCAAAGGGCATTAATCGTTAAAAAATAAAATAACATGTTTGGAGTTACGGAAAATTGATTCTTTATTGTTTACAGTTTGTAACTTAATGAAATAACAAAATAATAACAATAAACAATATAAAAAAATAAATATAAATAAAAAAAAGTTTTGCACTAAAATATTAATAAAATTAAATAAAAATATTAATAAGATGATCAATTATATTATGAGTTATACAGAATTGCAGTTTTTGCAAATGAAGTAGCTCGTCCTCAACTTTGCGCATTTTAAACACATAGTGGCCGACCTTGACAGTAAGTAACATTACCGAATTGTTGTAACCATAAAGAAATACGTTTCGGGATTCGATTTTTTACTTTGTTTTCCTTTCAACCATGAGTCCCACAAATTTTCTGCATACTTGCCTTGACGATTCAATTTGTTTTTTATCTTTTATTAATGGTTTTTCACATTATGCACAAAACTTTTTTTGAGCTTTTTTTGTACCGACGTCACAGAAAACACAATTTTCGATTTTCCGAAAATGTAATTGAACAAAAAGTTAGGTTTCACTAAGACAAGCTTCGACAAAAATGCGCGTGGGTGGCGCTAGTGAACTTGACAAAAAAACGCGAGTGGCCTACCTAGACAGTAGGCCAACCTTGACTACATTCCCCTACTATTTTACAGGAATTGGTCAAAAAATGTAATTATTCTTAAAAATTTAATTTCAATTGCTCGAAAAAAAATTTCAATTCCTAAAAAAATGTTTTTTTTAAATCGTTTGGAAGAATTCAATTATTTACAAAAATATTAGAATTTTTTACAGGAATTCATTTACTTTCAAATATTTTAATACAATTATTCGAAAGACATCAATTATTTTAAATACAATTTTAATTAAATTTTTTTTAGATAATTCAATTATTCTTTTAGAATTTAGATTTTAAAAAATTCCTCCCAAGAATTCAATTACTTACATAAATAATTCTTCGAAAGAATTCAATTATTAACGATAAATAACAAAATTATTCCCGAAAATTCAATTATTTTGAGGCATTTTAATAAAATTGTTAGCAAAATTCAATTATTTTCACAAATAGCAACATTCATCACAAGAATTCAATTATTTTTAAAAGTAATACATTTTTTCTTGGAAATTCAATTTTAAAAAATTCTAATAAAATCGTTCACAAGAATTCAATTATTTTCTTAAATAATAAAATGATTTTTAGGAATTTAATTATTTAATAAAAAATTTAATAAAATACCACACAGACATTCAATTAATTTCAAAAATTTTAGAAGAATTATTTGTAAAATTGGATTATTTTTAAAAACTTTTTGTAATTCAATGATTTTTAATATATCTACTATTTTTAAATAAAAAATTTCCAAATAGAATTCAATTATTCAAAAATTTTTTTGTAAAATTCTTCGTAGGAATTCAGTTTTTTTTAATTTTTATAAATATTTTAATTCTTTCATGAATAATAAAATTCGTTGCAGAAATTCAATTTATTAGCAAGATAAGAGAAGTAAATATTTTTAATGAAAATTAGGATAAAATTTAGAACGGAATTTTCGTCAGTTTTGTGAAATTTCTAAAACTAGTTTTTTTGGTCATCAAGTTTAATTTTTTGATATCTACTTTTTTACTACTTTTTTTTTAGTTTAACAGATACTTTTTGCTATTTTTCTAAAATTAATTCTCGAGTGCAAAGTCTGCAATATTTATCTAACTTTGCGAACGAGAAAGAACATATTTTTTTCTACTTACACACAATATTCGCAATGTTAAAAAAAATAAAGAAAATAATTTAATACTCACAATGTAAAAAAAATAGAGAAAATAATCTCGAAAGTGTGAAATTTTTTCTAACACATTTTTTGTAAAGATGAATTTTGTTATTAATTTTTTTTTTATTTTCTTTATCATCTTGAGAAAAAAAAGTGGAATATTTAACGGTTCCGAACGATAAATTTCGATCACTTTGTCATTTAAGTTTTCAACACCCACACATGGGGCAAATATTATATTTGACAGCGTGAAAGAAATTGCAATTTAGACACACGAGAATTTTAATATGAATAGGTACTTGGACTTTAGAGTGCTACTTAAAACTAGAATTTATTACTTATGAGTTTCTCAATTTCAGCGGTACAAGTGTTTTGAATTGAGCTCCAAACATGGGCACGATTCAAGTTTTCGATTATCGTTTGAAATTTTTCTCTTTCTTCTTCTTAGAGAAATAAGAAGTGTTTCTTTTTTATAGAGAAACAAGAAGTGTTTTTTTTATAGAGGAACAAGAAGTATTTTTTTATAGAGGAACAAGAAGTGTTTTTTTCTTGTAGAGAAATAAGAAGTGTTTTTTTTTTGTAGAGAAATAAAAGATTTGTTTTTTTTAAATTATATAAAAATACTCCCGGGGAGAGAATAATTTCATGCGTGTTACAAACAAGTATATTAGTAATAATCATTCATTTATGTCTGCCTTATCTTGTAAATCGAAATCTGTTACACTTTCACTGGCTTAATCTTGACATTTGTATTTTTCTTTTTTCTTTTTTTTTTATTGATTTTTCTTCTCATAAAAGTAGTACTCCGTTGGCTCCGAGCATGTCGTCGTCTGACTCATAAGATTTACATCGGTTTAATAGCAACACCTTTATCACTTGAGGTATATGGGACAGTTATTGCTGTCCCATATACATTGTCCTGTCTGCCGAGAAGAGGAATGTAAAGGGGATGTCTGTTAGGTGCGCGCAATGTTTTTTTTTAGATTAGAATTCTAATCTATCGAATGTATGGCCTTTGCCCATTAATATTCATGATTTAATTAACTTTATCAAGAAAGCAATTTATGTTCAAGGGAGAGAAAAAATTTTTTTATAACAATTCGATAATTAATCTTTTGAAGCGTGAAAGTATCAAACTAGGGATATTTGCGGTTTTCATTTTAATTAGCGAAAATGTTACGCAATAACTCAGCTTTTCAGATGTTCTATAACTGTTATGTAAGCTTATAGTTATGTTATATAAGAATCTAAATTTACTAATTTTCTAAGGATATCAAATTGAGACAAAAAAAACTTATCAAAATCGTTGCAAATACATTTTTTTAAATCAAAAATTGCTTTTGTCTTTTTTTCTTTAAAAAACATTGAAAGATCGAAAAAATGCAGGTATTTTTTAATGATTAAAAAACAATATTTGAAATTAGAAAATATAAAAAAATTATGATTAACAAATAAATTTTGTTTATTTACTTTTTTCTATAACAAATTTCGTTTGACTGATCTAAATTAATTAATTTTGACTGATCAAATTTTTCTCCTTTTTATTTGTAAAAACTAAAAAATTGTTAATTTTTATAAAATATTATAATTAAGAAACAGGAAATATTTTATGCATAGGTAATTTTTATTTCTCAATAACAATATTTTTCAGAAACTCATTCTTTTCTTTTAGAAAAGAAACATTACATATTCTATTCTATTTGTCAATTATAAATTTTAATTGAAAATAAAATTGCAATTTTTAAAATTTTTTGAAAATAAAGAAAAAAATTTTACTCAAAAAAAATGTTCTGTTACATTTATTTACGAATTTCTTTAATTGTAAAATTATTTGAAAACATCAATAACTTTTTTTAAAATAAATATTCAAATATTATATATAAATATTTAAATAATTATGTAAATTCCTGACAAATTTTTATTATATAATTGAATTCTTTAGACTAATTTTAAAACAATTTTATAAATTCTTACATTTTTTGTGGAATTTGATTAAAATTGTATTAAAAATAATTGAAATTCTGCAATGAGTTTTATTATTTCTGAAAATAATTGAATTTTTGTCACCGAACAATAATAAAGTTTTTAAAATAATTGCATTCTTGAGAAGAATTTAAAAAAAATCTTCTTAAAGAAATTATTTTTTCAAAAAATTGTATGGAAATTGTGCTTTAAATAATTGAATTTCTTTGATAATTGTATATTATTTATGAAAATAATTGAATTTTTTGTCAATGAACTTTAATAAAGTTTTTTAAATAATTGCATTCTTGAGAAGAATTATTATTTATGTAAATAATTGAATTCTTAGGAAGAATTTTATTAAAATCTGAAAGAATAATTGAATTATGTCAAAAAAATTTAATTAAAATTGTATTTTTTTAAACAATTAATTTCTTTCGAACAATTTTATTAAAATATTCGAAAATAATTGAATTCCAGTGAAAAATTCTAATATTTTTGTAAATAATTGAATTCTACCAAAGAATTCTAAAAAAAATTTTCTTTAAATAATTCATTTTTTCGAGCAATTCCTGTAAAATTGTATTAAAAATAATTGAAATCCGGCAATGAATTTTATTATTTATAAAAATAATTGAATAGTTGTAAAGAATTTTATAAGAATTTTCAAAAATAATTGAATTCCTGATAAAAAATTTATTATTTATGTAAATAATTGAATTTTTACGAAAAATTTGATTAAAATGTTTAAAAAGAAATAAATTTCTGTGAAAATTTTTTTATTAAAACGTTTGCGTACAATTTTATTAAAATTGTTTTTAAATAATTCAATTCTTTTGGAAAATTTTATTAAAATTTTTCAAAAATCTATAAGTTCGTTAAAATTTTTACTTAAATTCATCCAACATTGAAATTTTTGAAAATTTCAAATTGAAACCGTTTGAAGTCCATTTATTTATGAAAATTGTAGACGCAACTCTTTTAAAATTCAATTATTTTTGAGATATTTAAGTAAAATTATTCATTAAATAATTTATTTATTTTATTATATGACATTAAAAATTGTATTAAAAATAATTGAAATCCTTCGATGAGATTCAATGTTTATAAAAATAATTGAATTCTTGCGAATGATTTTATTGAAATTTTTTCAAAATAATTAAATTTTAATTAAAAAATTCATTACTTTTAAAAATAATTGAATTCTTTTGATGAATATTGTTATTTATGAAAAATAATTGAATTTCGCAAACAATTTTATTAAAATGCCTCAAAATAATTGAATTTTAGGGAATAATTTTGTTTATTATTTTTAATACTTGAATTCTTTCGAAGAATTATTTTTGTAAATAATTGAATTCTTCGGAAGAATTTTATTAAAATATTTGATAATAATTGAATTTCTGTGAAAAATTCCAATATTTTTGTAAATAATTGAATTTTATCAAAGAATTCTAAAAAAAACATTTTTTTAAATAATTCATTTTTTTGAGCAATTCCTGTAAAATTGTATTAAAAATTTAAAAATAATTGAAATCCGGCAATGAATGAATAAACAATTTATTTATTCTATTAAAGTTGTTTAAGATTTGAGTTACATTAAAAAGAAATTTTTGTCAGAAATTAAAAAAAATTTAAAATTGATAGTATTATTTTTAAAAAAAAGTGAGTGAAAAGTCAGCCGCGAATTGTTGCTAATTTTTATACTAATTTAAATTTAAAGAGTATATTAACGATTATTATTATTATTATTAATATACTCTTATATTTAAGAGTGTAGAGATTAAAAATACAATTTTTCTTAGAAAGTAATATAAAAGCCGCATAAATTTATTGATAAATTATATTATGAATGCGGCAATTTGTTATTTTGAGGGTTTAGTCTTGTGGATTCAATTAATAGAGGCGCTAGTAATTATGGTGATTTAATTGCAATTACGATAAGCGACAGTTAAGATACGGGGTGAATTGAATAGAGCTATATGCACACTCACACACACATACAGGTTAAAATATGAACGCGAAACTGATTCTGGACTGCATTGCGGAGGTCTCCCGTTCAAGGTCAACATTATACACATGTATACAGCGAAAAGATTCTTTCCCCCTCTTCCAATCTCTTTGAAAATTTCCTCCAAACAATGACTGCATTTACCAAACTATACAGAAATCAGTATAGTAAAATTTCAGTACTCGAATTCTCGGAAATATTATTTTAATAAATATTGTTGTTGAATTTATAATTTTTTTAAGCTTTTTCATAAAAATCAAAATTGCAGGGATCAGTTTTTTTTACCTAATCCCCTTTTTTATCCCTTTAAATTAAAAAAAACCCAAAATCATCAATTTTCTTCCCTTGTTTTTTTTTTTTTTTTGCAGAATGATTTGAAATATTTGTTTTATTGTGTAATATGTATTTTGTAACAATTCCTTTGAAATTATAACAAAAAAATTACTAGGTGAAAATTATTACAAAATCTTTTGAAATTACAACAACAAAATTACTAGGGAAAAATTATTACAGAATCTTTTGAAATTACAACAAAAAAATTACTAGGGAAAAATTATTACAAAAGAATTGTTTTGTAATAATTTAAAAAAAAAAAATTATTACAAAACAATTCTTTTGTAATAGTTTTTCCCTAGTAATTTTGTTGTTGTAATTTTTTTTTATATAAAAGTATAAACGTATATAATGTGTATGAAATTCCGTGGTATGGAAAAGGAACAACATTGTTTTAGAGGCACTTATTTTATTTTTGCTCTATGCCGATTTTAATCTCTAATCTCTTGTACAGTGTATATAAGGAATATGATTATAACTTGGTTCTGTATAACGATGATCGTGCAATCAGGACAGAAATTATGCACAAGTATAGCGAAAATGTGAATAAAACTAGACACATGTACTTTATCAAGATAAAGAAATTTTTTTCACCAACATTCCACTATTATACAAAAGGGGGCCATAAATTACTTTCAAAAGTCGTGTATATGTGTTATACTCCTTCTATAAGGAGTAAAATGACGATTATTTTCGCTAAATCTCTGGCACGAGGACGAATATATTGTAAATATTCTGCGGATGTTGGACTTTCTAAATACAAAAGCCGCACATTATACATATATATACATCACAATGAGTGACTGTATAAATTGTGTACATTGTCACTTCCCACATTCGCTGTCGACGAAACTGAACGCAATACATGACAAGGATGCTGTACAGACATCAACAGGTTCTGTTGTAACTCATATACACGAGTTTTGTTATTTTTTCTCTCTCTCTCTCTCTACTTTTACCTGACGATCGTGCAATTATTGTAAACTCAAAGTCTATACAAACGTCAGACAACTTTCAACGGGGGAAAAAATTTTTGTCTCTAAGAAATTTCATAAATAAGTTACTTTCCTTTTACTGTATAAGATAAAATTGAATATTTACTATCTTTCCGCACATAATGGCTAAACTAATTAATAAGCCACTTTTATATCTATAAGTGATTTCTTCATTATGACATATATATTGACGTGCACTGAAGAAAGATGGAAGCAAATCGTTTTAAGGTTATGTTTGTCTTATTTTTATATACCTCAATTAAAATTTATTTATTCAAATATATATACGAGCTGTGCCCATTCGTACAGTGTACTAATAATAAACAATAATAAAAAAAGGTTCTAAATTAGAGCTGATTTCGGTATTAAAATAGAGCCAAATTACGATTTAGTACCAAAATTGGTACTAAATTAGTACCTTTTTTTACAATGTAATAAAGAAGAATAACAGAATTAATTGCAAAAGTTAAATATAAATTTCTGAGTTTAATTTTTAAAACTAAAATCAGTTTTTATTAATTATTTCAGGTGCATTGAAGATGGGATCAACTCTTATAAACCGCACTTATCAGTGGTTCACAGTTTTTCTATTGCAGACTTTGTACTCGATAATTAATTTTTAAAACAGTAGCAAAAAGTATAGCTTCAAGACAGAAAAAAGTATTGTAAAAAAGTGGTTATCGAAAACTTAAACTTGGCTCAATTTTTTTATAATTTCTTAATTACACTCAAAAATAGAATAATTTTTCAAAATAAATATTTAAATGTCTAAGATTTATTTTGTCTACAGGAATTAAAATATTTCAAATGATTTTAATGTAACGCATTTTTGAAATTTAACTATTTTTAAAAATTACAAAAGTATCTTTCAAAATTTAATAATTTTTTTGTTGAATATAAATTAAATTATTCAAAACTTTAATCATTTTATTTTATTCAATTCTAAATCAATTTTTTTTAGAAAGTTCTACGAGAATTCAATTTATTATTTAAATACAAAAATAAATAATTTATTAAAAAAGTGAATATTTCTTAAATTTCAATTCTTATGAAGAACTTTATCAACGTTTTTTTTAAATAATTTAATTTTTACGAAGAATTGCATTAAAATTTTTGATAATAATTAAAGTCGCTCAAGAAATCTAATTAAAAATGAATTGAAAATAGTTATTACACTTTAAGGAACAAATTCTATCAAATTTTTTTAAATAATTGAATTTTTTCAAAGAATTTTATTCAAATTTTGAAGAATAATTACGATTTTAGCGGAATTCCATTAAAATTATATTAAAAATAATTGAAATTCTGCGATGAGTTTTATTATTTATGAAAATAATTGAATTTTTGTCACCGAACTTTAATAAAGTTTTTTAAATAATTGCATTCTTGAGAAAAAATTTTTAAAAAAAATTTTATGAAAATTGTGTTTTAAATAATTGAATTTCTTTGAAAATTGTATATATTTATAAAAATAATTGAATTCTTTTAAAGAATGTTAAAAAAATTTTTAAGAATAGTTGCATTTTTCACGCAATTCCATTAAAATTGTATCAAAAATAATTGAAATTTTGCGATGAGTTTTATTATTTATGAAAATAATTGAATTTTTGTCACCGAACGTTAATAAAGTTTTTTAAATACATAATTGCGTTCTTGAGAAGAATTTAACAAAAATCTTTTTAGAAAATGATTTTTTTGAAAAAATTTTATGAAAATTGTGTTTTAAATAATTGAATTTTTTTGAAAATGTTATATTCTTTATGAAAATAATTGAATTTTTGGTACGCGAACTTTAATATAAAGCTTTAAAATAATTGCATTCTTGAGAAGAATTTAAAAAAAAATGTTTTTAAAGAAATGATTTTCTTCAAAAAATTTTATGGAAATTGTGTTTTAATTTTTAAATAATTGAATTTCTTTGAAAATTATTTATTATTTATAAAAATAATTGAATTCTTGTGATGAATATTATTATTTATGAACATAATTGAATTTCGCAAATAATTTTATTAAAATGCCTCAAAATAATTGAATTTTAGGGAATAATTTTGTTTTTTATTTTTAATAAAATTGAATTCTTAGGAATAATTCTATTAAAATCTAAAAGAATAATTAAATTATATCAAACAAATTTTATTAAAATTGTATTTAAAATAATTTATTTCTTTTAAAAAATTTTTTAAAAATATTTGAAAGTAATTGAATTCCTGTGAAAAATTCTAATATTTTTCTAAATAATTGAATTCTACCAAAGAATTATGAAAAATCTTTTTTTTTAAATAATTACATTTTTTCAACAATTTCTGTAAAATTATATTAAAAATAATTGAAATCCTGCGATGAATTTTATTATTTATAAAAATAATTGAATAGTTGCAAAGAATTTCGTAAGAATTTTCAAAAATAATTGAATTCCTGAGACGAATTTTATTATTTACGAAAATAATTGAATTTTTGCGAAAAATTTTATTAAAATGTTGAAAAAGAATTGAATTTCTATGAAAATTTTTTTATTTGTGAAAATAATTGAATGTGATTGCAAAGAATGTTATAAACATTTTTTTTTTTAATATAAATATTAAATTCTTTTTGGAAAATTTTTTATTAAAATAGTAAATATTAAAAATTATTGAATTGGGAAAAATTTGAAAATAATTGAATCGTTTGAAAGAAATTTTTTTAGAACTTTTTTGAATTTTTTCCAATAACTTTATTAAAATTTGTTAAAATATTTTTTTTTCAACTATTAGCGAATGTAAAGTGATGCAAAGAGGAGAAATAAGAAAAACAAAAATATTAATAAAAATATATAAAATAACAACAACGAAAAAAAAAAAAAATTGAAACATAAAAAAATCATTAAAAAGAAAAAAAAAGAATATTGGAAATAATTTTATAACAATGGAGAGAGTTATTTTTTTTTCTTCAATGATTTCCCAGGTGGTCCAGCCTCGGTATAGGAAATGATCTGATCGATAGCAATCAAGAAAACGGTTCGAAATAAATGAATTGCCTTGGAGAATATATTTTGTATAAATTATAAGGTATGCTCAGTGAATATAGTAATATTTGCCAAATTCACTGCACATTTGAGCTTTTTTCCTCCTCCCTCCTCCCCTCTCGTATTTTAAAACCCTTTTACGCGCACACCTCTATATCTTTTCTATATAACAGGACAAGGTCGATTAGTTTGCGCATGCCATACCAGTACGGAAAGAGAGAACTTTGAAACTTTGAAGGTCGTAGGTGAAGTATGCCTGACAACTTTTCCCTTCCGGCACGCGAACATCACAAACATCAAGACACGAAAAAAAAATCGCTTCCTTATACGTTTTCTATTATCTCAAAAAGTCTTCATAAACGTCACTTCCGGTCTCACTATAACATTGCACTTTATTTATCCTCTTCTTCAATTTCATTTTTTTTCATTTATTTTTTTTTTTACATTTTTTTCAATGAATAACTGATTTTATAAAAAAAAATTAAATTCTAAGTTAATTTTTTTTATGATTTAATGATAAATTTTAAAATTTACTGTTTAAATTTTCCTAAAATCAATTCATTAAAAAACATTTTTAAAAAAATAAATTAAAAAAAAATTAAATCGAAGAAAATTGAAACAATAAAAAAAATTTTTTTAATTCCCTTTTTAATGAATAAAACATTTTTTTTTTGTAATAAATAAAAACTTCTTTATTACTTTCTTTTTAATTACTTTTTTCCCCTTTATTATATTTATAGTGACTTTTTTTTGTAAAAAATTTCCCCGACTGTTAACATTAGATAAAAGTTTCACGTTCTTTGAGAAAGATTTTTTCGCAAGAGAATAATTTCTTCCCAAGGGAATTTCATTGTTTTATCTCTTTTAACAATTTGAGGAAATATAAGGTGCATTCAATGGAGCGCACGATTTGAGGCTTTGTGAATGAAAATAGACGACGATCGATAATAATTACAGTAATTGATTTTAAAGGTACTTCTGCCTTCAGCGAATTCCCATGAAGTCTTCTTTTATGTTTCTGCGAATAATAACTAGACTAATCTATATAACAAAGGGGTAAATAAAAGAATCAATAATTTTTCCTTCAATATTTTTTTTATCCTTTTCTGAAAATTTAATATATTGAAATTTTTCTGTTTGAAAATGGTTATGAATTTGAAAATTTAAATATTATTTTTTTGTTTTAGAGGACATTAAGGAAATGAGTTAATAAGAATTTATGAATGGAGAATATAAATGACAGAATATTGTATTGTCTATAAATAGTGTACACGTTATTATAAAATGTAATTACAGTATGAAATGTAAAGTAATATAAAAAAATTTAATACTATAATCCATTTTTATGGATATTTACAAATCTTTTTTTGAAATATTTTTTATAAATTATATTAAAATATTTTTTTCATAAATTTTACTTTCGTATTTTATAAATTTCTTTTAACAGACATTTTTAGAAACTTGTTTATAAATTTTGTCAATATATGTTTTATACCTTTTTTTGTAAATTAGTTTCTAAATTTCTTTTTTGCACATTTTTTCTGTACATTAGTTTTTAAATTTCGTTTTTTACATTTTTTCGATAAATTAGTTAATTTTTTAATATCCACTTCTTTATCAAACTATCATCGGTAAAGAAAAATTTATGAAAAAAATATGTAAAAAAAATTTGTAAAAACTTTCGTTTTTACAAGTTTTTTTTACATATTTTTTTTTATAAATTTTTCTTCTTTGAAGTATTTTAACATAAATTTTTTTTAACAGATACTTTTATAAATTTGTTTATACATTTTTTTATACATTTTCTATACATTTTTTTATATATATTTTCTATATATTTTTTATTTTTCTAGATTGCAGAAAAATTTATACTTTATTTATTATTTTATTATTTTAAGTTTAAATCTTTAAATACATTTTATAC